CTGCTGTGTTTTACTTGCATCTATTTGAAAGACTGAGTGTAAACACACAAAATATTTTATTTTATGTGCTGGAATGTGTAGAAAATAGGTTTAAATGTTAAACTAATTTATTCAAGTCAGAGAATGTTGCATATAATTAAATTTTTGCTTGATGCATAAAGTTAAAAGATTAAAACTAATAAAACAAGTTTTAAAAAGAGACTTTTCCATTTGATTACATTTTGTATGATGGATTATGTAGAAAAAGTAGAATTGGGCTGAAAGCTCTATCGCTTTATCATCTATTCAGGTTGTAAATCGTGTTTTTACTAAGTAACTAAGTAACTAAGTAATTAATTACTTTTGAAAATAAGTAATCAGTAAAGTAACGGGATTACTTTTGGGGGAAGTAATCAGTAATTAGTTACTGATTACTTTTTTAAAGTAACTTGACCAACACTGTCCAGGAGGCATCCTTGTCAGATGCCTGAACCACCTCAACTGGCTTTTTTTGATATGGAGAAGTAGTCGCTCTACCCTGAGCCCTTTCCGGATGGCCAGACTCCTCAACCTATCTTTAAGGGAGAGGTCAGCCACCCTTCGGAGGATGCTCATTTCCGCTGCTTGTATCTGCAATCTCATTCTTTCTCATTCTTTCACTACCCAAAGCTTGTGACCATAGATAAGAGTAGGGACATAGATCAACCGGTAAATTGAGAGCTTCGCTTTTAAGCCCAGCTCTCTCTTCACCACAATGGACTGGTACAGCATCCACATCACTGCAGCCACAGAACCTATCCATATGTCACCAAGGAATCGCTTAACTGCCACAGTGACCTCTTTCTCGGTGATGGACGACTTGTCCCCGCTCGTCTTCAGACTTTTGGTGCTGTAAGCCAGGGAGATGGCTCCACAATCCAATGAGAGACCCCAGGTTTAAACGGAGCCCTAACTCTGGCTGGATTAGCAAAGCAGACAAATAACTGGTCAAATAAATACACATTCTGAATTAATCAACATAGAAAACGCAGCAGACACAGGTAATGCAGCCCAACTCCCTCAGGGAGGTGTCTGTGAAGCCATGGATTAAAGACTGGCGACCAAGTGCTCACCCTTGGGCAGTCACTCTGCACCAGGGAAGGGCCCTGGTAACCCTATCCCAGGCAGGATGAACTGTTTTCTAGAACTTCTACTTGTAGGTGTTTTTAAAATGGTCTTGTCTGGTCCCTGACCAAGGACTAGGGTTGGCAACTGTCCTGTTTTAGCAGGGACATCCCGTATAATCAGCAAAATTGGTTCATCCCTTATTCTACTTTAAATGTTATGTTATGTATGATCATTACATGCAATGTCACATATAGTGCATATTTACACTATGCCCAGCTGGTTGTGCATTGTGCTTCTGGCACTCCAGAGTGTCCCTTATTTGATAATTAAAAAGTTGGCAACCCAAACCAGGACCAATTTGCCATGGAAAACCCTACCAGGGGGGCAACCCCCTCACCTCCATGAAAACATAGCCCCTGGGAGACACAAACCCCTCCACCACAATAAGGTAGTAATTTTTAATATCAATAGTAAAAAGACAAAAAAAAAAAAGGAAAGGAGGAAAAAAACCCAATGAAAACAATTTAAAAAACCCCCAACACGTTAATATGCTCTTCCTCCTTTGTCTGTCTGGATATTTTAACAGCTTCTTATTAATTATCATTTAAACGTTTATCATTTTATTTCTTTATCGATTTAGATATGCAAAAAGTAAAATTCATAATTTTTTACAACCGTTTGGAAGTTTTAACTTGGTAGATTTTCAAAATAAATGTAGCTAGTTCATCAAAAAAAAAATTCCGAAACGAAAAATAACCTATTATGAACAAAACAATTATAGACGTTGCTTTTTGATGAATTACAAGACATTTTTATTACACACTGTTGGCAAATAATTAATGTCGCAGGAGTGACAGTACATCGGTTTTCAGGAATAGAACGGAAGTATTTTACTTTGGCAGTGACTAGTTGGTCATGAAGTTTTCTTTCCGGGCAAACTGTTCTGACTTCCGTGTTGTTAACAGGGTTTAGCTAGTGTACGATGAGGCCCGGTTAAGTAACGACAGAATTTGGGGAACTTTGAAGAGCCATAGGGATTATCGTTGATCCAGCATCCTTAAGACTTTCTGACCCGCGGGCAGGTCCGTATCACTTCCAGACCGCTCTCCTTCAAACACGATGAAGCTTTAACTTACCGCCGACTCACCCTCTGTAATGTTTACAGTTTACAGGTTTTAGGCTGGGAGATAAAAGCCTTCGCGAGTTAGCCTTCGTTTTTATGTTTAGTTGAGCTTAATATAAATAAATAGATTTGAGCCATTTAGTCTCCCGCCTGTGAGCGATCACATGATATTACATTGGCTTTTGCTAATCTGCGAGTATGTGTTGGTCGACGGCTAAGCTACCTGTGCTATCGGGTTTCTCTGTGTTCACCTAAGCCTAACCTACCATCACCATAACATTACAACCCCGATTGTTACTGAGCTACCTCGGTGTTTATTTAAAGCAGGATATTGTGGGTGTGATTTAACTGAGATCCGAGTTAAAGCAGAAGCGGATGTCTTCATTAAAGCCTCGATGCTGTTGTGGAAGTTTCAGGTCAAAAATGTCAGCATTGGTGTGTTCACCTGAAGACAAGTTGGATATATTATTGGATTAATTCTTAAAGCCATTAGTGGTCATGCCATTAAAATCGCTAAATGTGACTTGGTGTGTCACTCCATCTCACATCATCAGCTTTGTTCAACATTTTCTGCTCGACCATGCCCGATTTGCCAGAACTTTGTCCAAAGTTTGGACACATGTAATGATTGCTATGAAATTTTACCCTCATATATTAAGTATTAGCAGTCCGGGATTCGGGTTAGGGTCTTACAATGCACTATTAGTCACACCTCATGTGCATCACATCCTGGTCTTGCAAGGCTACTCTAGTGAAATGGATCAATGAAAATGAAATATTTCATATATTTAACACAATTTATTATCTTTGTTATATTTAGAAAGCCATCTGGAAACTTTAGAACTGTGTTTTGTCCGGAATAGACTGTTTTTGTGATAAAACTTAACATGTTTGTGTAATCCAGCACGAAAATTGGATGTAAATGGCATTAATTTAGCATTCTTTTGGACATCATCTACAATTCAATTCAATCTACAGTTCGCAAATGATCACTAATTGTCTTTTGCAATGTAAAGCTTTTGCTCAAATGTGCAACTTTATTGGGCTGCTTGATGTTTTTTTTGTCTGTCTTTCTTTCTTTCTGAACTAGCCAATACTCGACATTTTTTGATGTGTCTCTCAAATTACAGATCCCGGTTTACTAGTACAAAGCTCAGGCGTTTATCTTCAGTGGTTTTTCATGTTCAAATATTTCCTCATTTTTTTAATGTATGGAAAAAACTAAAAAGTATCTCATATTTCATTTTTTTATCGTTGCCCAAAATTATACCGGTATTACCATGAATGGTATGATATGGCCCAGCCCTAGCAACCATTATATATGTCCAAGCTTTGGACCATAACATTTTTTGGGAAATATGAGCTGGTCAAGCAGAAGATCTACGGTGAATTGAGATGGAAATAAATGCTTACACATGCACAAAGATGAAAGATAAGACAACACTGTAGTGATCTGCTGACCTGTTTTTAGTGATTATTAACTGCTGCTGATGTGGGTGCAAAGGTCATGAGGACTGCTTTATCCTCTGTTGTGTAAACCGATAACAACATAAACTTCTACACTTTACTCCTCACACATTTCATCTCATCTCCTGCCTTTTTACCCCCCATTTGTACAGGAACTATGAATGCAAGCACATAGTTTACCTAGACTGACTTTTGCAAAAGCTTAAGTCAACCGGACTAACCGTGTTAAGTGCCCAAAGTGTACTAAACACTTTGTTCCGGACATCTGTTTATTTTCTACTTAAGTGCAAAGCAGCTGGCTGTAGCTATAATCTTCCCTATTTCTGTCTAATAAATATATTAAAGCAGGATTTACAACCAAGCTTTGTACTAATCTAATCCTTTTTTTCCCAATGTAACTTTCTGTGTTTCAGATTTTTTTTTTTTTTATTTCTTTTTTAGATCACACCCACAAGTCACATCTGATGGGCCAGCAGTTAACAGTTGTTAGCAGTTGTTAACGTCCTTTGTGTCTGTACGTGGAACGTCAGCCAGCAATGGCCACTCATTTCCGTAGCTACATCTGGGACCCGGTCCTCATCGTGTGCCAGATCGTGCTGATGCAGTGCATCTACTACAGCTTTTTGGGCCTGTGGTTGGCTGGAGTGGACAGCCTTGTGCAGAGTAGTCGGTCATTGGACCAGATCTTCAGCTATCAAGTAAGTTTTAAGATATGCGTGCGTATGCATTTTTGTGTCGCATATTCGCTCTCTTAAAACTATAAATGTTAAATGTTTTCTCTGCTTTGATAGGCTCTCGGTTTTGCAACCGTGCAAGGCAGGCTCTCAATGATGGCATTCATCTTGAATTCTCTTACCTGGTGAGAAATATCATCAGTCTTTTTTCTATACATCATAAATGGATGAGATTTGTGTGACAGCCAAACAGCATCCTGTTTTTCAAGCATCCCATGAGGCATTCATTATAAAGGGGTGTTTAGATCTTATTTACATCTGTGCAGTTACACATTTCGTTAAGTGTAAAGGTTGAAAATTTTAAATGTTTACGTAGAAAATGGTCGACATTTAATGTACAGTGATACTCAAACTTTGGCATCTTTTCCGTGTCACTGTTCCTGCAGCGCCCTCGGTCTGTGGTTCTTCATCCGCCGAGGGAAACAGTGCCTGGACTTCACGGTCACCGTGCACTTCTTCCACATGATCGGCTGCTGGATATATAACGCTCATCTTCCAGCTGCCTTGTCCTGGTGGCTCGTCAACATAGCCTGCATGGCGTTGATGGCTGTAATTGGAGAGTACCTGTGCATGCGGACTGAGCTCAGGGCAATTCCAGTCAACACTGGACCGAAATCTAATCTGTGAATTTTCTTTGGTGACGGGCTGAAAGATTGTGAAGGGTAATCCTTGAGGGACTCACTGAGGAGGGTTTTTTTCCACCCTCCACTCTTGGAAAAGAAAAAGAACATGAACCTCTGTCAGCACGCATGTCGGATTTTTGTGCTTTGTCTGTTTCCATCAAGTGGTTCACCCTCCCGGACCTGATCTATTTATTCATAGCTGCACATTAAATATTGGACAGTGCAAATTTGTAGCATATTAAGACACCTGTTTTAAGTCTTTTGAAAGCACATGCCAGTTTACATCCTCCTCTAAACTAAATGACTACAAATGTTTTTTAAGTAAGTTTTTATGTTGAAATTCATTATTTTCATTCCTTAATTTTAAGACATTTTTTTCTGATTGTTGTTAAATTTAGCAGACATACACATACGCAAATTAAAAAGCTCTGTCCTAACAGCACTTTAAAGATGACATCAAAGTTTTAGTTACTGCTTCTTAAAGCTGCTTTTAAACGTTAAATATGGGGAGAAATGTGTTTTTAGACAACAAAAAGGTACAGTGCTTAGCAGATTTATTAGATCATCTGTCACAAAGACAAATATTTTAGAAATCTGTCAAAAAACTTCACCTACAAAAACAAATGTTTCAAATCTGTAATGGATGTAAAACAACAACTGTAATTTGGCACCTTAATAAAGAAAAAGTGCTTTTGCACCATTTTAGCTCTTTTCTTTGGTAAAACTGTAAATTTGAAAATAATTGATGATAATTATATTTTAGTACTAAAAATATCGTTTCAGCTGCACATACTGGTGGATTAACCATTACAGAAAAATAAAAATTTATTTTTATTGGTAATTTAGGGCAGCTGTGGCATAAATCTTACACTGGTGGTCTAATAAATTTGTTAAGCACTGTATGCTAATCAGTAGGTCATCATGTAAATCCAAATATAGGAAAGATTTTATGCGTCATAATTCGAGTTCAATAAGTGGTCCAAAGTAATAAAAACCAGGCTCAATTTGATGTTTCCTACATTCAGCCTCCTAATCCTTGTTAAATGCTTTTCTTTTTGAGTCTGTACCACATTTTGCACAGCAAGCATTGTTGGGTTCTGTCTCTTTATGGCATGATGTATTATGCAAACCGTTTGGCCACTTCGGGGACAGTTTGTCAGCCACCAGCTGCGTTCTGACAGCTGGCTTTGTCTGTGCTTCTGAAAAATTGCTGTTCGGGGAGGATGTGATGGGGAAAGTCCTAAAATGTGCGGCTCTGATGTCTTTTTTTTTTTTTTCTCCTTTTTGGAGCAGTGTCAGACTGCTCATTTCGCTGGTGACGTTTAAACTCTTAACAGAATTGACTTTTTGTCTTTAATGTGTTACAGCTCATGCTACACACGCTCGAGATGCTCTTCTTTAGACTGTCAGTTTAAAACCTTTGCAGCTTTGATGGTGCGGATGATGCAGTGTCTTGTTTTGCAGTCACGTTTTCCTAAGGTGTGAAATGAGTTTATAATTATGATGCAGGGGGCGATATTGGAAGGTGCAGCCTCAAATTGGAAAGCAGCTCCCATTCAAGCTGCTTTGAGTAGGAACAGAAAAAGCTAGCCTGTCCAAAGAATGTAATCCATCACCTCTCAAGGTAATTAGCGTGGTATATCGATGACTTGTTGTCTTAAATATGCATAATATTATAATGAGGGAGGTCTTGCCTGAGCTGCTAGTAAGCGAGAAGTGAAAAGTGTCAGGATTTCTTCCCATCCTCCCATTTAAGCAGTAGCTTCATATTTACTCCACAGAAGAGATGTCAGGCTTAAAGTCCACTTTGATCTTATGTGGGCCGAACAAGTAAAACTCCAGTTTCTGTCCGTGTACACATTTCATCTTAATGTAAGATAAAAGTGCAATTTTAACAGTATGACTTGGTTTTTTTTACATGATAAAGAAATGCAACGCTATTGTAAATGAAAGAAAACCTGTCAGTGCGACCTGTTGGGCTTCACTGTAAGAAGTAAATGTGTAAAATACAGGAGTCTGTAACTTAATTACTTTGGTGTATTGTGAATGGCAGCGGGGGAGGTCTTATCAGTTGGAAAAGATGTAAAACTTGTGGGGAAAAAAAACTGTAAAAAGTTTAACATTTATGTCCTCCTTCACTTTCAAAGCCATCCAATCGGCCGGATTGGATGGCTTCACCCGACCCGACCGATTCTGGCTCCTGGGCCTTATGTTTTACACCCCTGCTCTATATAAGAGTGAGCCGACTCTTACAAAAAGGTGAACAACTGTTTCCCGAAATCTCCACAAATTACTTTATTTTTACTTTGTACAAACTCGTGACTACTCTTTCTAAGTTGCTACTTTGTTATCTAGCAGTGGAACCTCTGAAAGTGTTCACATCACCTTTTGTATCTTAGATTTTTTTTGGTAATGTAATTCAATATACAAACTCTGGATAGATCTATTCACATCATTAAATTCCTTGGGGAGAAAAGGAAATTGCAGACGGTGTGCGAATTTCTCCTTTCTGGAGATTTAAATGTCTGCACATCTCATGTTGATTATATTAAAAGGGTAAAGTCTTGGAGAGGAAACTGCAGGTGGAAAAACAAAAAAGCAAAAACAAACATTGGCCATCGTGCTTCAGACATCAAACATGGCTTCTCTAATGAGGGTATTTCCACATGCATGTCTTTACTTCTCCAAACCTTTTCTGCCCTGGGCCTTGATCCCTCGCTGCAGGAAGTGTCCAGGTGGAAAGTAGCAGATGGGAGAGCACTAACGAGTTGAAAAACGCTGGTTGCAGTCGTCCTTACCCCCACTTTGCTCCGGGGATGACTAAAAACAGAAACTGTAATAGATGGGTTAAAAAGGATCGGCTGCAATCAGTAAATGTACCACCGGTTTCCATCTTAGTGCTGTTACTCTCCTGAAGCCAGTGAGCACACACTTAGGTTTTAAACATTGTGCTTTATTATTATAAACACATTACTTTTCCATATATTGCTTTATACAGTCTTGTAAATTGTGTATTAAACTGAAAAAAACCAAACCCTCACATGGATACTGAACTTGGTTTTACATTCAGGAGTTCTTTCCATGTTTGAGCTGTCATTATTAGGATTACTATGGTATCATCATGCTTTGTTCAACAGCAGGGAAAAAAGTCCCCTCTTAAGAAGTGACTATTGTATTGCTCATGCCTTGAGGACATCACAACTTTTTTTTTTTGTATTGTTACCCCCAGGTACACAGTGGATGACGTAACAGCAGTACAAACCTCTTTCTAAAAAAGCTGTGGCATTAGGCAAAAATATCAATAAAAACAGAGTGCGTTGTTTTGCAAAAAATTTAAACCCCGTAATTCATGAAAGTAGTCCAAAAAAAACATTCTTTAACTTTGTTATTTTTAAATATGTTCTCGTTTTAAAGATGATGCTGTTAAAGTACTGGACAGGCGAGTAAAATGACTCTTAGTAAAGAAAGCGTCCCAGAAAACTATGTCAGAAGTAAGGATGGTGCATAATATCACTGAAAGGTTCAGAGAAAATCCAAAGAAATCTCTGTATGCAAGTGAAACGGCTAAAAGCCAATGTTGAAGCGTAGCACTGCATTAGAAATAGACATGATTATGTTGTGAAGATCAGTATAGCGACTCAGGACCACTGTCAGAGAACAGGTTTGTCTTGTCATCCATAAGAATAAATTAAAACAAACAAAAATAAAGAAACATCCTGATATGTTGTCTTCTCTGGTAGTTGCATAAACTATTAAATCTTACCACCTACATACTAGCAACCATGATATGGGAAGCATTAGTATGTATGGTATGGTAAATTGCACATATACTATACAGGACAAAAGTATTAGGCCACACCTCTTAATGTTTGAATTTAGGTGTATCAAATCAAGCACGTAGCCACACCTGCAGTCTGCTTGTGAAAGAATGGGTTGTTCTCAAGAACTCGCTGAGTTCTTGAGAACTTAAGTGCTGCCCTGTAGTAGGATGTCGTTGTTACAACATTAGTTGTTACTTTGGGTTTATGCTTTTTGATCTATGCTCTAATTGTCGCAACCACAAATCCCCCTTAAACCCTGAGCCATAACGTGATTCGACTACATGTCAGCTATTGTGACTGGCCTGTTCAGTCCTGTTGATTTTTCCTTTTGAATTTATCCATGTGAGAATAACAATCATTACCTCATTAAAAGGAAAAATAATCATATCTATATGAAGACTCATAAATGTCAGCAAATTCCTGGAGGAAAATTGCTTAAGCTATTGTAGTGGAGAAAACTGCTTAAGCTATTCTCCCCCAGAGTAACAAATATGTTTGGACCCTCAAAAACACTGACTTCAATAAGAGGAGGAAAAAAATCCCTGCAGTTTATTTATTCCTATCACCTGGCACCGCATATAAAACACTGAGACATGACCACACATAATGCACCAGCACAAGCACAAATGACATCAGCCACTTACGTACGTTACGTTGTAGGCTCTACAAAGATTCCCTGCAGAAGTCTAAATCAAGAGTCAGTGGTATTATTGCAAAGTGGAAGCGTTTAGGAACCACAACGACTCAGCCAACGAGTGGTCACATAAAGATACAGAGCAGAGCTGGCGAGCGTTGAGGTGCATAGTGTGTAAAAGCTGCCAACGCTCTGCTGTCTTAGTAACTGCAGAAAGCCTCCTCTTGCATTAACATCAGCACAAAAACTGTCCACTAGGAGCTTCGTGGCACGACTTTCCATAACCGAGCAGCTCCTGTAGGTGTAACATGTGGGTGGCCCAATACTTTTGTCCATCCAGGCATCATTAATGTTAAACAGGCTTTAAAAGAACGTATGGTGGCATCTTCTGCAGAGAACAACTGAACTGTTGAGCAGGTTAACGAGCATAAATTGGGAAAAAATTGATTTCAGAACTACATTTGGTTTTCTCAGCTTCGAAATGCTTGTGGAGTGTTGTTTCAAGAAGTGATGAACACGCTCTTATCTCAAGTGCTTTTGAGATGTGACATTTGTAGCTATCCATCTCATTATATTTAGTATGGTGTGTTATATTTATTTTAAATAGGGGTTTACATGATTTCCAAATCCAAACATTCTGTTTTATTTGGCTCTTCCCACCTTTTTTGGAAAAGGGATTGCACTTTGAAAGATGAAAGAAATAGAAACAGAGCAAACATGCTGATGGAGTCTAGGTAGGTATGGGGGTGAGGATAATACATCTGCATAACAAAGGATGCAGGCACACTGAGGAGCTATAACTTCATGCACAGATCAAGACCACTGTACGCCATCTCCGAGGTAAAATAACAATCTGTCCTTTTTTCTGAAGCACTGTCACAAAAATCACCATGCACTTGTGATAACATAAACGACTGAATGATCCAACTTTGTTAAGATCATTTTTAAAGCAAATATGTATATATGGACACAGTTTGGGCAAAACAAACAAAAGAGAAACACTATTTCTCCAACATTTGAATTTACTCCGAACCAAAGGGCTTGATGCTGTTTTAAGAATAAACACTGTTTTTTTTTCCATGACACATTCACCAAAATATTAATCACAAAAGACAATTACTACTCATGACATCTCATAGACTTTTGTGCTAAATAGATGCAAGTTATTACACATTAATCTTTCTGTTTCTGAAGTTTGTTATTATTCTCACAATTTGACTTAACAGATAAAAAAATTTTTTTAGAAGAGGAGAACATTGTTTGATATATCAAACACATATTAATGATGTAATCAGTAGAACTTTATGGCAGATTTGTCTTTGAAAAGCCACCCACGTGTATTCTGTCATCTACTGGAGTATGCAGACTACTTTAATGCACAAGGTTAGTAATAGGATGTTAATAGCAAGTGAGCATTTTCTCACAGAAAGTCACAAAAACAAAAATTTTGTTTTTACACAACGATCAGTGGGTTGGAAAATTAAAAGGAGCCGTGGTTTAACTAAAGGTTTAACATGGATCATGTGCAATATACATCCCCTATTTTTTGGTGTCTTTATAGCAGCTATGCAACATCAGCCCTGATGGGCTGAAAGCTTATAAGGAAAAAGGGAATCCAAAGTTGTGTACGAACTGCTTGATTGTCACCTTACTACAACATTTTCTACACTTCAAAACAAGTTAAAGAGTGAATTCACCTCTATAGTGCATACAAATGTTGTTTAGTCATGTCGAGTCTGATTTGGCTCTTTGTTTGATCGGTAACAACCTTAAATAAACAAAAAGTACAGAAATTTGCGTTTGGTCGATAATTTCTATGTTGTAACAATACGTCTCGGCAATAAATCTGAGTATGAGAGCTGCACCCCTGAAAAACTTGTCAAATCTGGTTTGTCATTGTTAAATTGCCAATATACTTTGTTTCTTCAGACTTCGATCGTCCAATCCAATAAGCACCAAACAAGAGTCAGAAGCAGAATAAGCTGAAGATTTGGCAAGGTTTTCATGGGTGCAACCCACATACTCAACTCTGCTGCTCAACCCAAAAATGTGTTTTCCTTACAAATGTGGCAGCATGTAAGGAGAAATTAACAGGCTTTCCAGTAGTATAATATTTAACATGAAGCATTGTTACAACAGAGGACAACCAACCAAACAATATTTTCCTTGGTTTTCGTACCAAGTTTGTAAGGAACTTAAAAGCGGTAAGATGTTATTCTTCATGACGTGTCTCTTTAGTGTTTTTACAGAGCAAAGCTGTGTTTATACAAACTCAGTGGAGGTCAAAAGGTTTATGCTGTAGCTCATAATTAAAGAGGCAGACTGGCATTGTAGTAGTCTGACAGCCCCATCGTCTGTACTGCAAGCAGCAGCTGGTTAGCTTAAAAACTGGAAATAAGAGGGTGGGGCAGAACTGCCAGCACAGATCATTCACAAACATTTTATAAATCATTTCTTCAAATTACACAAAAGTGAAAAATATATATATTTAATGACAAGCTAAGCTAAAACTGGTTGCTATGCCTTTCATATTTACTGGTGAGATCTTAAAGTGGGGTCAGTTTTCTAATTTACTTATTGTAAAATCAAACCTTTTCTTTAAGGAGCATGGTGAAATCAGACTTTACACAAAACACACCATGGATGCAATAACTATCTTATATACAAAAATGTGAGCGATGAATAAAAAGTTATTTGGGCTTAAAAACTACAAAAATTAGACGTTATATTTTCACACAGGTAAACTATTGCAAGCTGTGTTTTACTGCACGACATTGTACAGATATATGCGGCAATGTGCCTGCTCCTTGTACAGTGTTAGTAACCCAGAGCCACAGGTGTCTGATAGTAGAATGAGCTGACCAAATTGAATGTGAAATCCACGAGAGTGTGTGCTTTTAATCTGTTTATAATGCAATTCTTTCTGCCACTCCACCCAAAGCTGGAGTATTTGAGAGAATTTCAAACCTCATTCATCACAGACATCAGCGACTCTAGGTCAAAATAATCCTTTGAAACATTTGTGCTCTTAAATCCTTGGCTTTAAGTTTAAACTCTGGAGGACCGAAGCACGGCGAATACGGCGTCCTCCTCACCCAACCCCTGCTCCATCTATGCAGAAGCCCAGCCGGGCCCAGTCAAGGCCAGCATCAGCGGCAAGATGAGGACAGCGCTAGGTGAACTTAGACTGGGAGAGGAGCTGGGACTGCACAGATCAAACAGACTTCCCTGGAAGCGTATCTTCCTGGAGTCCTGCCTCAGAGTCTCCCAGATGGAGCTGACTTCCTCCTGACAGTCGGACAGCGCCGTGAGCGCACAAGTGTGGAAAGCTTCCCAGTGGCTGTGGCAAATAAAAGGATCATCAGTTCAGCACTGTGTCTGACATTTCACTCGGAAGTCATTCCCACAACAGCATGCAGACATGCACTGGCTGTGCCTGATTAATTTGCTTGCCAAAAATCTATCACTCACACGGCTACGAAGGATGCAAGTAAGTCAAGCTGTGCTTTAATTACCATGGCAACTGTATGAGAGAGTGAAACAATATCACAGATGATATTGCAAGTGGGCAATTTTCAACCAAAGGATTGAGTGTAAATCTTTGTCTTCAGTGCACTGTGTTGGGGTTGTGGAGTGCATGCAGTAACAGTGACAAAGAACTTCCCCCGAATTTCATTACTGCTGCAGCGAGGTCATACATTATTTAGCACAATGGCTCAGTGTCTCAGCACCATTCATTTCTCTAGTCTCCTCTTCTCTGGGATTGTGGCATCTGCTCCCTTTCTCTCCAGTATTTTGTTATGAGATGAATATTTCATCCTGTATATGTCTATATTATTGCTCTCAATTACGCCTTATTTGATCCTAATTGAACTGAAAAACAATTTTGTGCACCAATGGGTTTCTTAATCGACCCATGAAAGCTGGTTTCTCTCTGCATTTCTTGTTCTCTCTGCTGAGGTTATCATTTGTATCTTAGTGCATATGAAAGCTCTACTCACCTTGGGTGTTGCTAGGTCAAGCTCACAAAACTCTACAGGGAATGTCTCGCTGCTGCTTGTGCACTCGCCGGTAAAGTAATTATCACCTGCACACAGCTGCCACTCCCCTCTCACTGGTCACGTTCTCCTGGTAGTTGTCCATGCTCTCTCCCAGCTCCAGGACACATTCGGAGAAGTCCTTATAAATGTTCTCACACTTCACATCGACAGAGTCTCCTGGCACCGCTAAGGACAGAACTACTGAAAAAACAGATACAGGAGACAGCTTTCTTTACCGCTTTTGTGATGCTTTGTACACTGACAAGCTACAAATAACCATGAGAGACAAATCAGCATCCACTGTAAGTGCACATAAATCAAATTTCTTTCTTGCTAAGTGTCTGGCTTAAGATTTCAGACTATCTTCAGACTTCACTTACGAATATACAACCTTTAAGCAAAGACCTCTCTATTACATTTATAATAATAAATACTATCACTCTTATTTAATTTGATAATTTAATTTGATCAGAAAAACTATGTGACAGCTTGTCAAACTTTCACTTCAGAAGCTGGAAAACCCCACCCCACACTCCATATTTCTTATCAATAATTAAGAGTGAAAAAAAAAAAGGGATCCAAGTTAAATAAAGGTCAGCATCAGAAAACTTTTGTTTATTTTGCCTACCAAAAGATCACATTCATTCGGCTCATGCTCTTCCCGGTCGTCCAGCCCCACAGTTTTGGAGCAACTGCTCTAGACAGATGTAATGTGGTGGAAGGAAAACATTCCTGACCACCGCAGCCCAAAGCTCGCCTTGTCAATAATAAACTGTACTGATTATAAAGTGCATATTTCTGTATTTTAGTAAAAGTGACAGTTGAGTGAATAAATAAGAAGAAACCATTCCGTGAGTTTTTGTCTTTAGGTAAGCGTTTCATGTACGAAAGCTTGCACACTAAGTATAGATACAACACCCAGTAGGCTATCTACCGCCGCTACAAGCAGTTGGCACTGGTACAGGTCTGATAACCATCATGCAACACTGATGGAGATAAATAAGCTTACGGTCACAGCACCTACATTCTGCTGCAGGAAGATTAAAAGAAGAGAAAAAAAAAGACAGCTTTCTGTTCCAAACCATCCCAACTGGCTCCCACCATAAAGCGACTGAGATTGAGATACCGTACCGGTGGCAAAGGCAACAATCCATCCGATCTTCGTCGACATGAAAAATCCCATATCATCCCATTTCAAGCCGAGCGGAGGGCGCGGGATGCTGCTGAGGCGCCGAAATAAAAAGATAAAAAGCGTCTCTGAGTCACACGGAGGTGATTAGCTGCCCATCATTAATGTGAGTCGATGTGTATCAGTGATTGAGCGCCGATAAACACTTGGTAGGTGTGTATTCACAGTCTTTCCTTGCTCCGGCCGACTGCTGACGTTACCTGCCCCCCGGCGCGCGCTGAGCTCATCTTCTCCCCTTCAGCACCGGACAGTTCTCACCTCCCCGAGCAGGAACCGCGGCCCTGCTTCATCACCCGGTGCTTTTATGCTTTTGTTAGACACCTCACACAGGATGTCATCACAGGATCTCAGCTTTTACACATATATACACATATTCCCTCAATCACATATCTCAGGTTGGGAAAATAAACATTTACTTTGTTCCACAGGGAAAACGTGGAAATGTTGTGGAATGCTGTGGAAACATGTAGCATTTGTCTTTTCCCTGATTTTTCCTTTCTTTCTGCACACTTTCACAATCAAACAAATTTTTAATATTACACAAAGATAATCTGAGTAAATACAGCCTTTTATTGTTTTTCAGAAGGCGTTGCATCACAAATACTGACATACAGCGTGACAGACCGCATCACTAACACTGACTGAATGCTCTGCTCAGGAGTAAGGCGGCAAAATTGACTTGCACAGACACTGAGACACATGGTTTCGACATTTGCACTTGCAGCTGCCACTGTACCACTTTAAAAAACATAAAATCATTAATGGACGTTATGTGTGAATCATGTGTGGTAATTTAAAAAAACAAAAAACAAAAACGGCATTTTTTGCAAGAGACCAGATAAGGCAGAGAAGGGTTTGATGATAGAGAAGACTGTGATATTTTCATTGTTATTATCGGAAATAAAAAAATAAAAAATAAAAAAAGGAGTGGCAATGAACTCAAATTCAACCCTCTTCAAGAAGGCAGTTCAAGCCAGCCCTTGTAATCTTAATTACCGATTGTCTCTTTCTTTCTTTCTCTCACACACACACACACACACACACACACACACACACACACACACACACACACACACACACAAGTCCCTTTAAAATGAGCCACAGTTCAGTCTTCTTAGTGTTTAAATGGTCACGGTCCAATGAGAGCACAGGATCCTCTCAGCATGTAATACCTTGAGACTGTATCGAGCTCCGATTCTCAAACAAAAAAAAATCTGCTTCAAAAACTGAATTCCAGACATTCGCATTGTTTGTAAATTTGAACTGAGTTATTGTTGCGAGGTGTTCTGAAAGTTTGATCAAGATTATAACGACAAAGGGAAGCCAGCACGTTTATTGGTCTGTCCCAGCCGCCCTCTTGGTTCGTTTCCGGGGGGATGCTTTAGGGGAAGCCTTGTCTGAAACACAGGAAGTAAAGATCAAATACTCAGAAATCAAAATCACAGTAAGAAAACAAAACAAAGCAGAGGGTGAGTGGAGCAGTGTAATCATAACAGCTGGGCAAAATGAACTTACTCATGGCATTAAGAGTCTCCTGAGGAATCCAGCTGATGTCCACATCATTTATTCCAGCAGTGCCCTTTTCTATTTTCACAGAAAGCCTCTTTTTCTGCAGAACACACACAAAGGTAGAAAGACCACATTATGTCATGTTAAATCCAATTTATTCACCATCATGCTGACTTTACCAGAAACATTTCTTCACATTTACACTGATTTACAAAGATGCGCCTCATTTCATCTCATAGGCAGACAAAATATCCTTAGATAAAAACAGAAAAGCCAGGGATGACGAGCACATACCGTCCTCGAGTCCAGGACCTGGTACATCCCGAAGAGCAGCAGGGATACCAGTCCCGCCAGGAACACGTACATAAACATTCTGCAAATAAAAGCAAAAACTCCAAGTTACAAATACACAAGAGCACAAAAAACAAGAAGAAGCCAGATTTCTCCGTTTATCAACCTCGATTGCAAATTTTATGTTCGATTTTTTTTTCCAGAAGGAATACGCCGTCTTCAGCTCGACTAATATTTCTGCCAACAGTTTGCACGTCTTACACCAGCAGCACAATCCTGGCTGCGAGTCTCTTTGTGACAATTTCACACCTCCTTTTGCAGGTTTGTACATGTAGTGCAATCTTCTGGGAGAGCTGCAGAGAGCCGGATGTGCCAAAACGACGTGACAAATACAATTTTGGACATTTCCATTTTTCTTTTTCTCCAGTGGAATTAAAAAGACACAAAACACTTCATTTGCATTTTCAATTTTGCCTTTATATTATAAAAAGCAGAAAAGCTTACGTTTCTCCATCCAGTCCCTCTTCTCGTTCAGTGATGGTGACAGTCTGGTTGTAAACGGCAGTCTGGAACACGCTGCCCTAAATTTATTTTTTACAAAAGAGAAGTCAAAAGACAAACAGGGAAAACAAAATTTAGGAGCTTCTCTTTAAAACGTGTCATTAAAATGACTCAGTATTTGTTAATAGTGCAGAAAAAAGCAGTCAAAGCTCAGCAGGGGGAAATGATGACAGTAAGGACCCTCCTGGGAATCCAAATTATGGGAGAGAGAGAAAAAAAAATAGTTGCTAACAAAATGTAGCGCTGATGAAGATTTCTTCAAGGCTTTTAATATTCATGAATCATGAATAATCATTAGGTGTGCTGTGAAAAATATTCCTGACAGTTACTGCCTGATATCTTCACATTCTACCCCCTCCCACCTTCTCTCAGTAAAAACAATAAATAAATAAACTTTTAAAACAGTAACACTTATTTTACCTCAGTGTCTTGATAGTTGAGCAGGATTACAAGTCCAAATGGGCGACCGGCCATTGGCTGTGCTGGGATGAAGGAGTACTCGAAGGAGGCCTGAGCTTGTGGTTTGACGACAGTGTTCAGGGGCAAAGCTGTGAACTATAAACACACAAAATATTAAGAAATCATTTTCTGAAAGTATGACATGAGCTAGTTTGGTTTCCTCAGTTAACCTAACATCAGCGTCTTTAGACAAAGCTGGGGTACCCGGAGAGAATCCGGGGAGAACGTGCAAACACCACACGAAACGCTCCGGGAACCTGGAACCCTCTTGCTTTGAAGCAACAGTGCTGACCTCTAACACCGTGCTGCCATTTCTGAGGTTTCATTAAAGCTAAACAAAGTAGCCTTTGCTAGTCCCAGAAATGGGAAATTCACAAATGAAGAGAGCATGTGCACAAATATAATAAACATCATTTTACTTTAATGTTTCTGCATCATTCAGATATTTAAGTTGTTCTGTTACACAATTCAGTGTGGAGTTCATGTTCTTCCCTGAGTCTGTGTGGGTTTTCTCAGAGTACTCTGGCCTCCACCCACAGTCCAAAGACATGTGGGAGTTAGTGGGGTTCGGTTAACTGGGGATTATAAATTGCCCATAGGTGTGAATGTGAGTGTGAATGGCTGTCTGCGTGTTTTAGCCCTGCAACAGACCGGCGACCGGCCCAAGAGGTCACCAGTCTGTCGCCCTGTGGTAGCTGGGATAGACTCCTGCCCCTGCCACGATCCTGAACTGGATAAATGGAAGAAAGGATGGATGTACAATCCCACCCATAACATTTTTTTTACTATATTTTTCATTAAGACATGAAAGGAATAGAGAGTGTTTATATGTATTTTTTCAGCATTTCTCAACATTCAAGAGAATAAAACAAAAGTAATGAACATAGGAAATAAAAAGAGAATTCAAAGAAACCTAAACCCTGATATAAACTCAGGGAAAGTCTTGCCATAAAAGCATGTTTAAAGGTTTAAAGGCATGACTTAAAAAAAAGTGACCGACCATGTCAACCAGGTTGTTCCAGAGTTATGAGGCGCTCAGTGCAAATGCTCTCACCTTAGGGCTGTGCGATATGACCAAAATCTCATATCCCGATATAAGACATCTATCGTCTGATAACGATATAAATCACAAAAATTTAACATTTTCTGTAAATTCTGTGAATCTCGGGCAGCTCGACTTGCGTGAAATGTTTCCAGCTGCGTGTCATGTACCTGGAGTTGAGTGTTTTAATTGAAACTATACATTTTTAGACATAAGTTGTAACGGCCGCCGTTTTCTTTGTGATCATTTATTACACGGCGTGCTGCGGGGAAAAGCCTGTTCTAACGTTTGAGTCTAAGGTTTATTTTTTAGCACCTGGCGGCTCTTTTTGCTCCTCATCCGTTAATACGTGATTCAGTTTATTTTGAAAAGTCTCAACAGGATGTTGAGCTTTATTATGAAAGGTTTATGTGGAACATAAACTAGCGGACATGCGATGGTTTTACCGTTGCTGTTGCTAACGACAACGCATAAAAACAGGCAATTGTCTGTCAGTAGTGTGGTTATATTAAATATAAGAGAAAGAGAGAACTTTAAGAAATTAATATAGCCACTACAGTGACCATCAAAACGATTAAAAAATATTGTCGTAAACAGTTTATTTTGCGACACCATGAAACAAACATAGCGTAAAATGAAACGATAGACGTTTTTATATCGTCATCTGATATATATCGTTATATCGAACAGCCCCATCTCACCTCTTACATTTTATATACTGGTGCATGTGGTAGTTAGAGGTGGAAGATGTACACCATGAGCGGCCTTAAAGGCAGTCAATAACATTTAATTTCATAGCTAAATCTCTTTAGTTATGAACTTGTCCTGAAGACATTTTACAGCAGGATATGCGGCACATTGTGTCTCTTACATTTTGGATGAAGAACTGGAAGTCCTGGGGATAACGAAAGGAGGCCTCCAATGACTGAACGGTGAACTCCTGACTACCCTTGTTGGAGAAACCCACCAGGAACCGCACAATTTCATTGGCAGGAAACTCTAAAAGTGTCATGACCAGAAGTAAATAATGAATAAAAGTAAAAACACAAATGTGAAGATACCATGTGTTTAACACGGCCACAAAACTGGCTTCTACACCATGAAACAACTAATTAAGCTTTTTGCTTTAGTTTTCTAGCAATTATTAACAAAACCAGCGAGACCAACCTTCTCCCGTGGTGAAGATGATCGTCGTGTCGGCATCAGGGTGAGAAGCTAACAGTTTGTCCGCCGCTTCGTCGGAGTCGTCTTCGTGTCCTTCCTGATGACACACACAACTTTACATTGTAAAACCACCACTAGTATGCCTAATCGTGCTGCGTCATCACTGTACATACCGAGGTTTGCATCTGATCCTCTTCAACAAGGACATCTTCATCATCTTCCTCTTCATCTACTGCAGCATCTGAGTCCTCGACAATGTCCTCGGCCGAGTCTGAGTCGGCATAAACGTGGCCTGCGAGTCAGAAGCCACAGTGAAGACATGAATGGATTACGGGAATGATGCTGGTTAACACACATGAAAAATGTTTTAGCAGTTTTCATATGACAATCTGAGCTTGTAATCTTTGTTAATTCAGCGTGTAAAACAGACAAGAAAGTGCTGCATTTGGCCATCATCGTCACACAGACAGTATTTATTTATTTCATAGCAATTTATGTCAGATTATGTCTGTATCAAGTCACGTGATGAAGTGATAGATGGTTATTTAAAGAAGAAAAGCAATGGAAATGTGGGCGAAAATCTAATATACACTTAAGCAAGGAAAAATCTAATAAAAAGCGGTTGTAATAAATCTGGCAACCTTGCCTCCAATTTCAATGAAACAGGAGCAAAGACACTTGAATGTGTGTCAGCAGGGCAGAAACCAGCAGAGCCAAACAGTACGAACATCTTATCTATGGTGACGTGTCCCAGAAAAGAGAGGGAGCCTCCAGCTGCTCTTACATCCTCGGCTACTTCATACATTTGTATTAAAAAGCTGCTCTGTGGCTCCAAAGGGAAACTAAACTTTGCGTGACGTGTATATATTTCTTCTTACGAAGAAAAAGACCGCTTTTTCTTTAATTCACAACAAAAGCGACAGACTATTGTATATCTCTAGATGTTTAAGAATAAAACCTGCCTTATATTCACGTTAGCAGCTGACCCAGCTGTGGAGAAAGCTGTCGGATCGCCCCGTGACTGTGCCACGTCAATATGTTAGGCGAAAAACTTCTGACCAGCAGCGGAGTGAGGCTACAAATGTATCTGCCTGCTTTCAAGTGAAATAAATACATAAATAAATGCTTACCAACTGATATCAGACCGCAGGGGAAGGCCAGGAGAAAAAGCAGCAAAAGTTTTGATGTGAAGTTGAACATGTTTGCAGAGGTGGAGGCTGAAGTTAGTACCACATCAGCAGTTTGAGGAGTAGAGGACGGGAGCTGAGGAGGGGGCGGGGTAAGAGGAGTTCTTCTTCTTCTCCATGTTTCATGGCGCATGCGTAGAGCTTAGTGGTGCATTACCGCCACCTAGAGGAAAAACAAACAAACAAACTTTGTAGCGTGGATGAAGTGGAGCCACGTCGTCCATCTTTAACACCGTCGTTGGGCTGGATGTGGATGTGAAGTAGACTGTGTATAACAGCTGTTTGTTTTCCGGGCTTTTTATTTTGCACCAGCATCTAAAACGTTAATAACAGGAACATTAAGTTGAATCACCATGTTTTATGAAGGGCCAGGGGCACACGATTGGAGGTGGGTGAGGCATTAAAATCCCTTGATTCGCATTAAGGCTAAATATAATCCAAAAGCTTAATGTATATGACAGTATATGACAGGCTACACCGTGACATGTCTGTGTTGCACATGAGGCTGCACAACAGTTGTGACGCTGTGTAAAATGTAAATAAATGTAAATGTAAATTGTCTTGTTGAAATATGCATTACTGATTTTCAGCCTTGTTCTTTGCGAGGTCTCCAGATTATGTGAATCTTTTGATGATGTTGTGGACTGTAGATTAGGAGGTATTCAGTCTTCACATTTTATGATGAACATTTTATTAACTTTATTTTGAAACTGTTCCACATTTTGTAGACACCGTTCTCTGCAAACTGTTGAACCTCTGCCCATCTTTAGTCTCAACATTTACGTTTCCGCCCTTTTCTTGCTCCTGTCCTAACTTTTGTGGGATGTGTTGCTGCCATCAAATTCAAAATGAAAATATTTTTCATGAAATTGTATCAGTTTAAACATTTGATGTTTTCTGTTTTGTCGTAATATAGGTTCATGAGACCTGCAGATGTTGGCATTCTGTTGTTACTTACATTTTTCGCAGGGTCCTAACTTTTTTGGAAGCGGTGTTGCACAAGACATGTACATAGATTTCTACATCAATTTCTTACACTGGGACTGACTTTGATAAACCACACTGAGTGACAAGAGGGTAGCCAAAGGTAGACAAACCAGAAGATAAAAAAAAATAAAATAAATTAATGTCTGCATAGCAGATAGCATGGTGGTATCTCAAAAACTCTCTTAATACAAGTGAAAACCTCTGCAGTTGTTTACAATGGAAAGTTTCTGACGCACTGTGGTTAATGTGGCTTTATGTGTTTTTGACCGGTGTACCTAACTATAACACAAGCATTCCCACAACTGTCAGTTTTAGTTTCCTTCGTCTTATTTGTTCCTATTAATAAATACACTGTAGCATTAGAATGATCCTATAGGTGGAGAATATAAGCAGCGGGATGGAGTAACACAGCTAGGATATTATACATGCAGTGTGATGAGCAGCGCTTCAGTTAGTCCATTTAATTAACAGTGTAACAGCTCTTTCTGCGCCATTCCTTTTAACAAATTATGAAAAGATCTCACATTTTGGATTTGCCTGGTTGAGCAGATCCATGACTTTAAATATCTGCTTGAGTGCAGTGGTATAAAGGTGGACATGCTTTAACCTATAGCCCACACTCCTTGCAGAAGAATAACTCACCCAGTGTTGGGTGGGATAGCTAAGACAGCCTAAATGTCTTGAGCCACTCTTTACTGAATTTTCACCCATGTCAGATGTCAGCACCAGTTACTTTTGAATCAATGTTTAAACCGAAAATAACTCAGATGCCCAAAAGGATGATTGGAACAATCCTTCCCACATCTGGTTTAATTTAATATTCAAAATGTGACACTTTATACACAGAAGAAGGCAAATAAATGACTGCACTGCTGTCTGCGTGTTCAACCCACGCTTCCTTCAGTAAATGGACCGTGAGAGTCTTATCATTTGCTCCTCTCATCCTGAACTAGTGTTCAGCCTGCTGACACAGATGGGGCTGATCAGCAGGCTGCCAGCTCCTGCACGTTTGTATGCAGAAGATTTAGGAGCTGCAGTTCAGCACTATAAATGAATCCTGAAGAATGATTGCTGAACCGGGTGAAATTAATTCCCAGAATGTATGCAAATATTCGTCTTACGTCTGACAGTGATTTGAACAAACCGAAAGCCAAATACCAACAGATTTATCTGGATGATATGAGAATAAGATGCTAAGAGAGCTAAAAACTCATATTTTACCCCCAAAGTGACCAAAACTAGGATGTGACTTAAAAAACTGGGCCTCTGGTTTGTAAACACATCCATTAACACCTTCTTGCTGCTCTAATTCCTGTTGTCTGATGTTGCAGCTATGAAATATGAACCACTAATTTAAGGTGTGTGTTGCCAAGTAAAGAGGTCAGCATGAAAAAGTTAAATCAGTGAACTCCACCATGTGTTGAATGTGTCAGACTGTTACCAGAATAATTGGTTAACCTCACTTTCTGTCATGGCCACTGGCATATTTTTGACCCAGCAGCTCACGACTGACTTTAAAGATGTATAAAGACATCTGCAGGATTACAACAAAGATACCATTTATTTTGGTTTATGACTTGATCCATTACTTTGACAGGATGCTTCCAAGTTCCATCACTGACATCTGTTACCTCATATGTCTAAATTTCCTAGTCGTTTGCACTTATTAAACACTTTTCTTTCTTAAAGGTCGTAGTTAGCATTTTTGTTTTTTTAATCTCATTTTATTATTATTTATTTTTCATATACAAATCACTGCTTTTCATGGATTCTTTTATCTGTATGCATACATGTGTAAAAATCATAACCACTGGAGTTTGTGCTGTAGTAGTTACAAATATTTGTCCCCACTAGAAATGTTTTTATCTCCACGGAGAGAATTTGCTCTCATTCTTAATATGTTGTCACATAGTATCCAGATGTTGTGTGAAATAATTAAAGGATTATATTTAGTGCCTCAAAGATAATTAAATGTCTTTTTCAGGATATTTAAAGTAAAAAGGATATATCCCCTTAAATCAAAAGTGTTCATGTCGTATTCCTTAACACTGAAAGGGCAGGTCTTCAGCCTTGGTACCTGATCTGTCTTGTAGTCTAAAAAAAGTTTGTGGTTTTCTGCAAAAGCACACATCCTGTAACAGTCCTTTAAGAAAAAAAAGCAAACACGCTGGTGTCACATCATACTGCGTGAGCACAAACATGCAGCGAGTTCTGTAGAACTGCTTGTCAAAGACAGAGTACAGGTGTAAAAGATTTAGTAGACGTTTGTTTTCAGAGTATAGTTTGGATTGTCCTTGGTTAAACTTCACTGCCATGGTAGATCAAAATTGCAGCTCCACTCAGCAAGGTAAGTCTTGAATGAAGATACAAACATCGTTAGATTTCACAGTAATGTAAGCCAAGAGTTTTCCTTAGAGTTAAATCAGGTCTTTACATTATTTATAAATAAAGATGGTTAGTGTTAGTGCTTGTGATGCTTCTTATGTTGCTTTTATATTGAACTAAGCTTTACTGGTTTGACTTTAGAGGGAGTAAAAAAGGTTGATTTTCATATCAGATTGCATTTTGATTAGCAGCTTTTGTGGGACTTCCCCATCTTTTCTGTTATTGCTCTAATAGACGTTTAACAGAATCTCGGTACTTTCCAGATGTAATTTTAAAGTTTTGAAAAAAAAAGTGCTGAAAAATAAACTGTATGCTGTCTGGCACAATGTGACAAAGATCATTCCAGGAATTAAACTACACTGGGCACACCAATAAGCTTATAAAGAGATGTAATTAATATAGCGCAGAACTGTTCAGCTTGTTGGTTCCCTAGCAGTTGCAGTTTCTCATGTGGCACCTTGGGAAAACTAACCGCCCACCCCTGCCTGAGATGCTGCCGGAGAGAGAAACATATCCAAAATTAGAGTCAGTAGGACTTCAGCCAAGGGGGCAGGAGCTGGATGATAAAAATGTTTCCAACTTTGTTTTTAAATCAGTGACTAGTGCTTTAAATAAATGATCACAGCAACCAAAAACAAACAAAGAAAATCCCCCAAAACTGAGCTTACTAAAAGGCAAGTTTCTTTTATATACAACTTCTCCCACGCCTTCACAGCTGACATGTGAAGTGTCTGTTGTGTACAGACTCACAGCATTCTGATTAAACAGAATGCTGTGAGTCTGTACACAAGGCATCAGCCGCTCAGAGGCATCAGCAGTTTAATTAGGACGGTGCAGTTTGCCCAAAGGCAAAAAGCAATACTGTGTAAGATCGTAGAATGTGTCTCATTTTAATGAGGCGATGCATTACCAAAGCTAAATTATTTATTTAGATTTGTAACAGAGATCCTATGCACCAGATATTACTCGGGCAGAATGTGGACCCATTTCCACCACTGCAGAGTCCAAACACGTTAAATTGCTCCTTCGTTCACGGTGAAGATGAGCAAAATTCAGCTGAAAGTTATATGAGATATTGCACACCACAGCTACACAGTTAAGAGTTACAGTTACAGTCAGGCTTTTTATGTGATTCAGTGGCAAACCAAAAACCAACAGTGTGTCGACTGAATGTTTTAACTCACTAGAGATCGATGAGGCTTCAGGAACATGTTAAACATAGTATATCAAAAAGCACTGCAATTGGTTTCTGGGGTAGGAAATGCGCCCAAGATGCTTTTGCTCGGTCTGTATTCCTGCAGCAAACATTGCACACATCACACATCCATGCATGCAGGTTTCTCAGCAAAACCACATTTTCTGCTGCTCAGTTCTGGTGTAGATGTATTGCTCAAGGACTCTGATGCTGTGCATGTTTTCACATTTTGCTTTATTGCCCAATTTCCTTCAGCATTGTTTGAACAATCCACTTTCAAGCATGTACCTCTAGTTCTGCATTTTTTAAAGAGATATATTAAAAAAAACAATTTTTATTTTGTTTATTCATATTTTAAAAACTTTACATGATGCATGGATGGTTATTCTTCATTTCTTAATATTGTTATTATCAGTAGTAGTCACTTATTTAATATCTGTTTAAAATGTGAACTAAAGAGGAAAAAAAGGCGTCCCAAATTGCTAAAATTAGCTTTCTGTGTTGCGTGGTGCAGTGATGAAGCACAGCACTCACTTT